TGTACAATATATTGTAAATTTTTTTTTTACTACTCGGGAAAAATATTTTAAATCATGATAGTTTAACTTAAGCATTTTTATATGATGAAATGCTTTTTATATTTCCATACTATGTGTTTTTATTAGCGATTTTACTTGACTTTCACGTATTTTTTGTACAGGAAAATACCACAACTTACATGTCACTGGAATTTTATAAAATGGTATACTTTTAAACTAAATTGTAAAAATATTTTTGAAACGTTTTCGATTTTGAAATTTACGTAAACTATTCGAGACATTCCAAGNATGTGTTTTTATTAGCGATTTTACTTGACTTTCACGTATTTTTTGTACAGGAAAATACCACAACTTACATGTCACTGGAATTTTATAAAATGGTATACTTTTAAACTAAATTGTAAAAATATTTTTGAAACGTTTTCGATTTTGAAATTTACGTAAACTATTCGAGACATTCCAAGACTTCATAAAGTTTAATTTGTTTTCAAAAACATTAATAAGATTTTTAGTAGCACGCTTCCAATGTTACAAAAAATTAAATGTACAATATATTGTACAAATGCAGGGAAAGGGTTAAGCTGAAGTGCGATCTGCACATATGTATGTCCATTAGGGTGGTCCAAAAACAGTAAAGTCGGAATTGTAATGCTCTCACCCCCTAGGATTGTTCTATATTGTTCTATATCTAAAATTTAGAGGTCGCTCAAAGCGCTCAAAGTTTTCCTTGTATTTTTATATGAGGAAAAAACAATTTTTCGTAGAAATGGTATAGAATTCTTGAAAATAAATATTTTTCGATCGGAAAACTCTTGTTGTCTTCAGGAGACTCTCAATAATAATATCCAAATGCTTATTTAAGCATTTTTTAATCCTAATGATTTTTTATTGGTCCCCTCCTTGCATTTGTCGGGGTTTTTGTGGGTTTATGGCGGACCTATAAATTATAGTTGCGATGAAAAAATGATTAAATAAACAATCGGGTATTATTATTGGGAATCTCCTGCAGATAAACAGAGTTTAAGATAGAAAAATATTGATTTTTAAGAATTCTATGCCATTTCTACGAAAAGTTACTTTTTCCCCATATAAAATACATGGAAAACTTTGGCCGATTTGAGCGACCTCTAAATGATTTTTGATTTCAAAATAAAAAATAGGGGTATATATTTTTCGGTATAGAATAATCCTAGGGAGTGAGACCATAAAAATTCCGACTTTACTTTTTCACATGCATTTTTGAACCACCATACATACATACGCATTAACAAGTTGCCCTTCCTTATCTTAGAGTGTTCTACTCTCAAGAAGCAATTTAAAATGTAAACATCTTCAATATGTATGTACATATGTATTTATGCATGCACTCTTCTCAAGGGCTGACTATAATATGAATAGGCAACAGTGTTGCCAGAACTTTTTGGACGAACCGGCTAAATTGGCAAATAAAACCGGCTAAAAACGGCTAAAATGTTGCAACTAAATTTCACATGTTTTATTTAAATAAATCACGAGTAAAAAGACTGTTTCTTGGAGAGAAGTTACAAATTCGAGCCGGAAAAAATTTTGCCAGCAAGAATTTGCAATTAGGAAAAACATATGATTGTGGCATATGGTTGGAGTTTTTGTCGACGATAATTTGAATAAACGAGTTCGTTAAATTTAAAAATTTACAAACTAGAGCGATTTTAAAATGAAAAATGTATGTTAATACTTGTTTACTTAATTAATTTAGTTAATTCCAATGATTTGAAAGGGACTCGTCAAAAAAAAAACTGTATTCTTAATCGAAATGCAATCTCAGCCAGAGTCGATATAGTAAACCCGACAAAGAAATTGAAACGTATGTTGAAGAAAGTCGGACTGACAAGATATATACACGTAGATCCTGTTTTTTGCCCCTCTGAAAGAATTTAAAAATTCTATACAAATTTCTTTTGTTTGAAATGCAACCGTGGACACTAGCTGGCAGAAAAACTTGCAAATTTGCGTTCGTACAGAAAATTGCAAGTTTCTCTACATGGGAGAGAATTTGGGGGCATTTTTCTTACTATCTGATATTGTGAGTGATAATTCTCGCTGGATTTTCGACGAACAAACCTATTGTCTTCCCTACAAGGCCTCTTCAGACTGACCGATTCTCAATACACTCAAATAGAAACCAATACACATAAAAACGCTATAAAAATTTCCCTTCAATTTTAAGGCAGTAAAACAACGACCTTAAGTTAACATCAACCGAGGCCATATGTTGACAAGGGATGCAAAATCACAGTTACACAAAAGAACTGGTCAGATTTTTCAGAAATCCCTTCAATTCTGATGTAAAATATGATGCCAAAAGACTGCAGATCTCCCATTTAGATGACCGGTCATATGACCGGCAGATGTCTCGTAGGATTCCCAGAGAGTTTTGCTTTACATAGAAATTTGTGCTCTTTTATTTTCATTTTGACTCACTTCAGTGTTGGTTCATTTAATTCAAGTTGGCATTCGGTTTTTTGGAATTTAATAAGTTCTCAGCAAAAAAGTTTGTTCAAAAAAATACATATGTGTACATAGTGCTTCAAAATATCAATTTTTCCCTTACCTTAAACCTTTGGGAGTGGGCAAAAACGATGTTTTGTAATTTAGGCAGAATTGAATATGCGCTATCTGGGAAGACAATATCTAGATGTAATATTTATTCTGTTTGTTGGCACTATATCCAAACACAAACGCATCCTAAGTGTCTTAACAGTGAAACAATTTCTTATTTTCTAAGTTTGCGAATAGAACTTCACACTTAAAATTTAGACATTTATAACAAACATTTTATGAACAAAATCCCTTCTTCGTTTTAAATAAAAATAAGCGAAATCGGCCCAATTTCATGCAACCCTGCCTGACATGAAAATTTTCTCCACGGTAAGTCCAGTAGCCAATTCTAACAGATTTTGGGTCGCTGAGTCAAAAATGGAAACATATATACATATTTGAAATTTAAGAAAACAAGGAAAATAGCAAAATCGGCTAAAAACGGCTAATTTTTTTCTGCAAAACGGCTAACAAATCCGCTGCCGGCTAAATCGAAATTTCTCCGGCTGTTTGCTATCGCAACCGGCTAAATCTAGCCGGAAAACGGCTAAAATGGCAACACTGATAGGCAAGCGTATGCAAACGTGCGAATACACATAAATCGTATTCTGAAACTATAATGTACTTAACACCAAGTTTCGTCAAGTTTCGCCAAACGTAATTTGCTTAAGGAAAGAGCGATACTGGTCACACCTTCCGTACGGAATCAGCTGTTTGTACTCGTATGTATGTACATATGTACCAGGGTTGTTGCGAATATTCGCATTCGCAACCACGGAGCTTCCGCGTTAATTTTAACATTCGCATTCGCAATAATCAATGCGGAGCTTTTGCGAATGTGAATGTTGTGCAGTGCACCGATAAAACGTATCTAAAAAACAGGTAACCTTTGTATTATTTAGCTTTATTTTTATTGTTGTAAACTATATCAAGATGGTTGCTTTTGGACACAATTCATAGACGAATTATAGGTGCCTAAATTAAAAAATAATGAAAACAAGTGAATTTTGTATGTAATTTTTAAGAGAGGCACAATTAATTATGTCATACATTTTGAAGCACACCATATACTGCTTTGAAATTTTATGTGCAATTAGTACTTATATATGCACTTCATAGGTAGTTGGTAACTAAAGTGTGCTTTTAAAAATAACTAAATGGCAAGAAACGAAATGTGTATAACTCTACTTTTCAAAATTTTGGGTTTATCGCATATGGGTGTTTCCATCCGAAGATCCACCACGACAAAAAAAATAAAAGTCTTATATCTAACGTATTTACGGGCCGATTTGTCCGCGTTTTACAATATATAATGGCTATGTAAGTAGAATCATGTTTGAGTAAAATTGTCTTCCAAATTGTCTTCCTAGGTGGCGCCAAGGTAAGGAGATATTTCGAAAAACCGTATTTATTATCCGATTTGGTTCGAATTTGGCGTCTGTAGTTGAAACATAATAAATGATAGATTTCCAACAAATTGACCCTGAATTGGCGCTGAAGTCAAAATATATTCGACATAAAATACATGTTTTATTTGCGTTAAAAATTCATTTAACAGCAATAGTAACAAAAATATAACGATGGAAATTTATGTCACGTGACGCCACGTCACGTGACGTTTCACACTTGGGGTTGTAAAAGAAAATTTAAACAAGTTGCATTAATTCAAAAAACTCTAAAAACAACTAGAATTGCTGCAAATCATACTAAAATAAGTTTCATGACAATGGCCATCCACAATTCGCAGAGTGTTGCGATTTTGTAAGAAAAGAAAAAATCAACTTGCATTTTTTGTCACGTAACGACACTCCTTTTAAATACTTATATTTCGGGACCAAGCAGTTCGATTGTTTTAATTTTTCGGTTAAATATAGAGCTAATTATGTGCTATACAATGGCCCAAAAAAGTTAAAGAAAACAAATGGTATTCCTTTTTTGTATCACATTGAAACATACAACTGTCACGTATGCGACGTATGGAAATATCCATATAGTTTTGAAGCATTCCATTTTGAAAACTTTTTAAGTTTATATTGTATTCTACAAACTATCACTAATAATATGACAGCTTAGCAAGAGGAGTGCTTTCAGAATAAACCAACTTTTAAATATAAAAAATTATGCGAACTTGAGCGTAATTTTAATTCCAAAAACATCTTAATTGAAGGCACATTTGAAAAATACGTCGAAACGCTCTAAATCTTTTTATAACTACTAGTCCTCATAACGTTACATATACCTTTAAAATGCTTCAAAAAATTTTCTGTAGAAGTGTGTAAATACCCTGATTTACTACTTTTAACCCTAGAACACACACCCAGAAAATACCACGTAAACACACACCCGGGATACGTTTGTACCCGGGACCTTATTTTGCGGTTTTTTTAATGCTTATTCAACCGATTTCTATGATTTTTTTTTAGTATTACCTGATTATGCGGACTATGAGGATGATGAAGAAGACGATGAAGTAGAAGAAAATAATGAATTACCTGCTAGTGCCGAAAAATTTGTTGCACGTGATGGTACTGAGTGGATGAAAGAACCAAATGTAAGTCGTCAGGTACTCAGACAAAATATTATAAGAGAACGTTCTGGACCAGCTAGATGCACTGAAATGCTGTCAATAGAGCAAACATTCAAATGTTTCATGAACGTTGAAATAGCTGATATAATTATGCGCCACACAAATAAGTTAGCAAAAGAAACTTATAATAATTACAACAATGCGCATCCAAACACAACTCCTAAGTCATGGACGCCTGTGTCAATAACAGAGCTGTATGCATTTTTTGGCATACTTATTATGACTGGTGCGAACCATAGCAATGGAGAACATGTTCGAGATTTATGGAGCGTCAAAAACTATCCTTTATATCGCGCCACAATGGGAGTCAACCGTTTCTGTTCGATATTGCGGTTCCTAAGATTTGACGATAAAAACACTCGTGCAACACGCTTACTAACTGATAAAGCAGCACCGATCAGTGAGTTGTGGACGATGATGAACAATAATCTTGCTGCACATTACAAGCCCAGCTCATGCTTGACGATTGATGAACAATTATTTCCTTACCGTGGACGCACACGGTTTACGCAGTACATACCGTCAAAACCTGCTAAATATGGTATCAAGGTTTGGTGGATTTGCGATGCCACAAATGCATATCCACTGCATGGACAAATATATACTGGCCAAGCAGAAACTGGTAGGGAAACGAACCAAGGCGAACGAGTGGTGAAGGATTTGTCTGCCAAATACCAAGGAAGTGGCCGAAACATTACAATGGACAATTTGTTTACGACCTTGCCAGTTGCAGAACTGCTTCTCACCTGGAAACTCACGATCGTTGGAACTTTGCGCAAAAACAAATCATATATTCCTCAAGAAATGAAGCAGAACAAAAACAGGACAATTGGTTCAACGACATTTGGCTTCAAAAATAATGTGACAATGTGCTCTTATGTTCCCAAAAAAAATAAAGCAGTAATTTTGCTTTCGACCATGCATAATGATGCTGAAATAGCTGACAGTGGGAAACCTGAAATAATTGAATATTATAATCGTACCAAAGGTGGTGTTGATCGAATGGACCAAATGTTTGCGGAATATCCAACACAAAGACAAACAAAACGATGGCCACTAGCGATGTTCTTCAACATGTTGGATATTACAGCTCTTGCAGCCTACATTGTCTACGATTTGAATAACCCTATGTTGCCTTGGAGAACAAACAACAAGCGTAAGCAGATCCTGCGCAGCTTGGCTGAAGCATTGTGTATGCCCATTATTGAAGCCAGAGCCATAAATCGTCAAGTGACGCGAAATTTTTCGACTAAAATTGCTATTGAAGCATATTTCAACCGACCGGTGGAATCAATGGTGTCAACAGCAGCATCAACATCTGCCGCAGCGCGCACGCCAAAACCTGTGTCCGGATCTTGCTATTTATGTTACGCACAAGAGGAAAAACGCCGTAGAAAAACCAGAAAGCTGTACGACAAATGAAGAAGCCATAAGGGAATGATATATTCAATAATTTTAAATGGGGCTCTTTGAGGAATTTATTTTTAGCAAAAATTTTAAAAACAATAATTTTGTTTACTTGTCGGGCAATATTTTTTTCATAAGGGTATACATTGGATCCTTGCTCCTGATCCTTGATCCTGATTGGCTATTTAAAATCAAAGAGTATGCTCCTTCAATAGGGATTTCCAGCAGAAATGGTTAACGTCTGGCTATAAGAGAAAAGGCTAGATATAGGTCTGACCTTTAATTAGGTAAGAATTGCGTAACTATCTGAGACCCTCATCATCCGTGATTTAATTCAAATGCTTGTAAATAACGGGGTGTTTAACAAAAAATAACAATAATCTGATCCGATTCGGCTGGCAGCCACGACTTTGAAAACCGAATTTTAATCAACAATTTTCATTCCAGCAAAATATAATTTTTTTCTATCTCCACATATTAAGCTCGCTATAAGCACAAATTTTTCAAACCTGTTGCAGAAAAAAGTATTAAAAATTAATTACGAAAATTTAATTAAAAAAAAACTCTGATGACGGTACAGGTTCCCCAAATTCTAAAACAGCCAAAGGAATAAGAATGAGGAATCCTTTTTAAAAAGCTTTATAAAAACCTGAGACATCTTGGTTTGGCTTCTAAGCGCTGTTTAAACAACGATCTCGCCATTATGCCAGATTCTTCAAGTGAAAATTAAAGTCAGGAGGATACATCCAACATTTTCAGCCCCGATTCAATTCTCATTACTTTTTATTAATTTAATATTCCAATTTTTAAATTCAAGTAGTAATAAAATAAATATTATTAACTTTTCCAT